GTTAAGTCCATTTCAAGCGTTCGTTATTATGTCTGATTCAAAGTCGGTCTTACAGGCTATCTAAGGCTCTCCAATAAAGTTTTATCGACAAGAACTTGTATTTGAAATTAAAAATTTATTATATAATCTGAGGACTATCAACAAAAATATTAATTTTATTTGGGTTAAAGGACACTGTGGCCTCACTGGAAATGAAATTGTAGATCAAGAAGCTAAGGCTGCCTGTAGGATCGGTGTATATACCAAAGTTTCTTCATTGCCTGATATCGTCAATTCACACAAGAAAAACATAAGAAACAGATGGATAAGCCAATACCATGATGTTTCTAAAAATTCAAATAGTCATTATTTTCTCTCACGTCTCAAATTAAATCATGGACGGTTTCCTGCCCATTTACATAAAATAAAAATCATAGACTCTCCCACTTGCACTTGCAATAATAAGTCAATTGGAGACGCCAATCACCTTTTCTTTGAATGTCAAAATTATGCATTACAAACATCTGGGCTATATAAATCTTTAATCTCTCTCAATTTTCCTCTACCAGTAAATTTGACATCCCTTCTGACAAGCAACGATAAACATATCCTCCATATTTTAATTAAATTTATATGCGACACTAAGCTAGATATTTGAGACACTACTTCTCTTATTTCCTTCTTTTCTGTATTCCGTTTTTATTATTTAAACATTCTGTGGCAAATGGACACCGTCCGAAGCCATATCTCTCACACAACACAACACACACATATAACTAATTTAAAAAAAAATAACTGTTATACAAATTCAACGTGTCTGTCTCAGATAAATTATAAGTTAAAAACCAACTATCTTTTGCAGCTTGCCTGCAAGAGTATATTTCTCTGGTAATATCTTTTAATATAAAATTTCTTTGTTTTCATTTGATAGTTTCCTACCATATTTACAGCTGAAAAAATGCAAAGTATAATATAAGATTGTTTAGCCTCAAAGATTTTTATTACATTACAAAAATAAAGTGTTTGTTTATATGCATGGGACTGGAGAAAAATATTATAATATTAAGGTAAAATCATATGACAGCTTTAGAAATAATTTAAAACTACTCACCTCTATTTCAAGATGCACTCGCAATTATAACTTTACTTCAAAGAAGTTTCTTGTATATTATTTAAAATAAATAAACGCTTCTTCTACATTTGTTGCCTTCATTTAAAATCTCAAAATACCAAGATGTAGGCTACCAGTTTAACATTTTGGAAAAATGTGTTGCCTAACCTAGTAGTAATTGCATCAAAATGGTCGCGCCCTATCCCAGCAAACCATTTTGTTACATGTTACCTCCTGTTACATAACTAAGAAGGTTAAAATATAATTAGACTGTCTTGTATGCACTTTTATGTGTTATTTATGGAACCTAAGTTCAAACTTAGCACCATAGTTATATACCATGTATATAATTATAATATGTTACAAAAATTACATATCCGTTACATAAATTTCCTCACATAAAGATTATATCAATTTATATACCTATGTGTAATCTACATTGAAGTAACAATTTGTACTACCTAAATTATTTCGTACAAAAGGTTACATAGCTCCAAATATTTTCGACGTTTTTTTTTGTAAGTATTTGTCATACAGTGTGTCTACTTATTAAGTTGGAAACAAATGGAAAACTTTTTTATTAGTGGTTTTGTAAAAAAATGTATTCCTAATAAAAAGTTCTGCATGGTCCAAAACTTGAAATGCAACCATCAGATATCAATTTTTTAAGCTGCAAACGATTTAGTAAGGTGACTTTTGCTTTGACATCGCTGTCAGTGAAAATTTAACAATCTTTTGTTATTTGAGCTTTACTAACACCATCCTGTGTATTTTCAACCTTTTTCTTCCCCATATTTTATTGTAAGTAATTGTATATAAACATATTTTTGTGACACAAGATAAATAGAGGTTAACTTAACCTCCAACCCACATGGAGTTGGGAGTTAAGAATCCGCCGGATCCTCCAGATCCTCCGCCGAGGGTTAAAAACTTGTATTCGAATCATGGGCGTCGTTTAGGGGGGGCAAGGGGGGCAGTTGCACCCCCCTGGCTTTTATGACTTTACAACGCGTAATGGCTGTATGTCACGATACTAAATTAGGTACTAAAATTTAGCCCTAAATTAAGTTATTAATTTAGTACTAAATTTAGAACTAAAAATATTTTTTTCCTTTTGCAACGATATCAATTTTTTGTACTAAATTAAGTATAGACCCACGCGCATTGACGTATTGTTACGTGAAATTAGCACAGAAATGAAATATTCTGTGTAAAAGAGACAAATGAATTAAAATATTTAGTACTTAATTTAGTATCGTAACATACAGCCTTAATATATGCATTACTGATATTTCGTTAGGTAGGTAATATGTAAAATTACATAACTAACACAATTACATAACTGGCACTGGCTCATATTGTCGATTATCGCCGTGCACGCATAAAAATAAACGCAAGGCATAATATGTTAGGTAGCCTTTAATTTATTGAATTGTTTAAGGAAATAGAAGAAATAGGTAAACATGACAGGTGTAGAAATCTAAATGCCATGAATTACGGACAACAATAGAAATAATATTCAAGCTAATACAATTGACCAATATTATAGTTTGAATATATTTATTTCACCTTACACGTACCTATCCATTTTACTTTCTTTTTTTAAAGTAGGTAAAAACTAAACAAAAAGCGACCGCAGTTGCTGTGTAAATTGTAAAAATACTAGCAGAAAAAACAGTGTAAATTATATAAATTTTCAGTAGCAAAATGGAAATTAAATCAAAGAAATAAATGGATAGCTGTACAATAAGAAGAAAAGAACCTTTTTTTCTTGTAATAATAACAGTAATACTGGAAGTAGTAGACATCAGAAAATTGAAAGGTTTTAAATAAACAATAAATTATTATTTTATAATGTTGTTCAACATCCTTTAACTCTTAAATATTCAGCAACGATTAGATTTCTGCCTTTGATTATTGTATGTGGCTGAAATGCTATCTTGTGACTTATTGATGTGAAACCAATTTTAATCATTAATTTCTATGGGTTCTTCCGAACTAAAAATTAAGAAAATATAAATTACAATCGCAAATATACCAATTGTTTTTGTTAATACGTTATTATTATTAAATAATGGTAATGTTTTTATTTTCACATTATTTAACCTATTCTTCAATGACAACTTATTAGGCTTAGGCAATATATCATACATTTTGTCGTAAATATTGTTGACTGCCTATGTTCTATTATTGATTATACTACTTTTTTTTAGCTGAAGTAATAAAAATATATAAAAATAATTAATTTCTCACTTGTTTTACAAATCCATATACTTTTATTAAAATCAACATATATATTTTTTAATTACGAATTTTTTTAAAAATTGTACTGTCAGTATACACAAATATCGTCCGTTAGTTCATAAATTCGTTGGCACTGCTGTCACGCACAGAGCGAATAATTAATGAAAATAGGCTGACTGGGCTTTACATCGAAAAATAATCGCAAAAAACTAAAATGAAATCATGTTTTCTGTTATCGAATATTTTTGTTAGAGGAAGAAGAAATTAAAAATTTGCGTTTTTCTAGTGTTCGTCGACGTGTTTGAGAGATTTTTTTATGTTTTTGTGTTTCTATAAATATTTCATTTTTTTTTTATTATTATGTATGGTTCTGTCTTCTTGTTCATATTTTTCTTTTATATCACACCATTTATTTGTTTTTTTAAAATATGTGTATTTATTTTCTTTTTTTTTTTTATTTTAGTTTTTGTCTTTTTTGTTAAGTTATTTTATTTATTAGAAACTTTTGTTAATTTGTATTGCTCTTTTATTTTTCAGTTTCTTTGTTTTTCAACAAATAAACATTCTAATTTTTTTCAAAATTTTGCCACTCCCTATAGAATTGGGTAACGACGCCCATGATTCGAATACAGACTCGGGCCCCTTCGAAGTGTATGTCCAAGGAAAAACAAATAATCAAGGAAATTTTCATATACTAAGTATAGCAGAAACCATATTGGTGCGATCTTTACCAATGCTCAAGCTGCCAACCAATTTATAGCTCTTCATTAATGGCGGTTGAATTTATCTGAAATAACAAAAATGTTTGTTTCCCGCAAAACTTTATTGATAAAATAATTTAGTTAAGGTTTATTTAATAAAAAAAAAGCAAGCAAACGAACAATAAATTTTCTTACCTATACATTCGTTTTCCTCCCCTTTAATCAACTGAAGTATTTTTGCACTTCTTGAGTTCATCTTTAATAATTTTTGGTTAGATCAATAATACTGATCATTCTTATTAAGCAAAACGCAAATGTACTGAAACTGCTATTCTATGTCCACTTGCACTTATGGCTAGCACTTGAAGCGCTAGCTGCGAAGATGGACTAACGATACTTCTGCATCCAATATCAAAGTACTTTTACTTTCAAATGCACTTAAAATATCAAAATGGCCAAAAATGGACATAGGCTAGTTCAAGCAACGGTATAATAATAATAAGGTTTTAAATAAATAAAAATTTGTTTGTTTGTGCAAGTGCAATAATAAGCTAATTAGTCATGACTGGTCATGTTGGTCGGTTGTTTTTTTTTCTCTAAATGTTTTCAACCGATAGGGCTGCTTACTTAAAGCACCTCCTGTTTTTCCCTTTGGCCAAATTTGACGACCTGATACCAGGAGCGGCTTGTGACCAAAATTTTGGGGGTTGACAGTAGCAGAATATATAGATACCGGTACAGATATAGGTAAAAAACTGTCAGTGTTTTAGAAAGGTATATCATAAACTTTCTAAAACACTGAAAGTTTTTTCATACATCTGTACTGATACCTATATTCTGTCACTGTGAACCACCCCACGAGCCGCCATTGCCTAATACTAAAATATTTGGTGACTAATGTCTTATAGTTTCGATTATTATTTTCAATTAATTACTAATAAAAACTTTTCAATATTTTTTTACAGATATTTAGGTACTTTACAAGTACTGGCAGATTACGCATTCGTCGTTCAACATTTGAAGCATCTCTTTTTTGAAAATGTAAATCCTTATGACACATATCCGATTGTCGCTTTTGGTGGATCTTATGGAGGAATGCTGGCTGCTTGGTTGAGAATGAAATATCCATATTCGGTTATAGGAGCAATTTCATCTTCGGCTCCAATGTATTTCTTTCCTGGAATGACAAGCTGCGATCTATTTTATGAAAAAGTTACACGAGTTTTTGAGAAATATGATGGCCACGTGCAATGTACCAAAGCGATTAAACTTGGATGGGATGTCATCAACAACTTGGCAAAAACGCAATTAGGTAATAATGTTAATTTGATGCTTGATAATATGGATTCGTCCATTAGTTAAGATTCTGCCTCCCCTCCCCAAAAAGCGATTAATATTTGACAGCTTTTATCCACCTACTTTTTATACAGCAAACTTAAACTTATGTGCGTATTTAATGGAGACAATGGAGACGCGCCAGGACCGTAGCCAGAACCAACTTTAAGGTAGGGCATCCGAAATTTGAAATAGGGCACAATGTTAGAAGGGTCGAGGGTATGGAGTAGTAAAGAACATATGTGAACAAGGAATCAAAAATTATATTTTTAGAAAAGTATCTACAAAAGAAGCTTGTATGTCGAGTTATAACATTTTTTAAATAAATAAACAAGTTTAAAAATATATTTATAAAATTAAAGGGAAATAAAAGACTCAAAGTCTGTCGACCACATAAATTTATTCGGTTGGGTTGCAAGCGCTTTCGACCTAAAAGGTCATCATCAGGCAAAAATTTTTTGAAAGTGAGTAGGTAGGTAGGTAGGTACAATCTGCAATAATAATTTAGGATAACAAAACGTTTTTTTATAGAAATGCTAGGTGTCTTACCACTATGTGTCCACAGAAAAAATTAAATGTTGAATTAAAATTTTAAATTGTAAAAATAAAAATTATACAAATTGGCACGTACTGCCTTCCTCATTCGAGGTTGGATATTGTTTACTCTTGAACCTCGCCTGCCTCCATCTAATGAAGGTGGTTATAAAAGATAATTTCAAATTTGAAGTTCCACATGTGTGCTTAAGGCACCATGTGAAAAATGTAACTTTTCGAAAATTACCGTTGCTCCCCCTATCCCCAGTACAAATGGGGTAGACGGAGTTTGGTTTGTGTACACCCTTAAGCATAGGCTTAAGGGGTATCATTAATTAATACTTTGCTTAACTTCAGGAATTTCACTTAGCACCTTCGTCATTCAAGGGTGAAGTTGAATGTGAAAATGGTGGAGAATTTACGACATTTGACAACTGACATATGATGGAAGACACGTAGTTACAATTATGGTTGAGATAATAATAATTAAATTTGACATTAGTTACATTGAATAAGTTAAATTAGTTTTGTGACAAATTTTTAGAGTATAAATTTAACAATTTGACAGGTTGTCCAAGACTTTGGAGAGGCCACGAGTAAATTCTGTTGGTGTTATAAAGTTAGTGCCATTTGATTTTTAAAAAAGAAGAATTTGACATTAGACATTAGATTTAGGTTAAGGAAATTTATGATATGTATGAATTTTTTGAAAAAGGGGGCTATTATATATATTATTACAAGTAAAAGGTTGAAGGATTTATAAGGATTTAGGAAACTTTAGAAGGTTAATCTGGAAAAGATAGGCTTATATGTAGGTTGTAATTGATCATTTAAACACACCACATCTGGATTATTAGTATGTTGATGAATGTAATACATTTCAAGTAAGTCCAGCCTAATGCCTTTGGGACATTGGATAAGAAGAGAGGCGTTATCTGGAAAAGTGAAGTTATGTTTAGTATAGAGAACATGATTAGCAAATGTGGAATTGGTATCTAAAATATTCGAGGATTTATATCTGTTGATGGTTTTGTAATGTTCTAAAATTCGGGTTTCTGTCTTTCTTCCTGACTGGCCGACGTAGATGGCATTGCAATCATTACAATTCGGTAGATATACCCCTGGTTTATGAAAAGTGGGTACAAGATCTTTATTCCGTACTAGAAGTGAGTAAAGTGAGTTGGTACTTTTAAAGGCTATGTTTATGTTGAATTTTCTGAATATTTTAGCTAGTTCATATGACACACTACCCAAGAAAGGAATAGAACCAGAATAAACCTTAGGAACAATGGAATTAGAAGAATTAAGTGAGATGGTGGGAAAGGACAATCTAAATTTGTTGAAAAATCTGAAGTACATTTTATTAAGAAGCTCTAAGGGGAAACCATTGTTGATAGCAAGTTGTTTAATTAAATCTATCTCTTTATTAAAATTTGATTCTGACAGAGGGATGGTGAAAACTCTATGTAGAAAACTATTAAAGGAAGCTTTTTTATGTGACAAAGAGTGGCATGAGTCAAATGGTATAAGGGTATCTGTAGTGGTAGGTTTTCTATATATATCAAACTGTAATCTATTGTTTATTATGTCTTTGGTAATAAATAAATCTAGAAACGGTATAGTGTTGTTATTTTCAAATTCTACAGTGAAATTTATACGGGGATGTAAGGTATTTATATAAGTAAAAAAGGAATCAAACTGTGCTAAGGAACCATTGAAGAGCATAAGTATGTCGTCTACATATCGTTGATAAAAGATTATTTTGTCAGAAAAGGGATTGTTTAGAATAAGTTTTTGTTCAATATTGTTCATAAATATATCTGCCAAGAAGGGAGAAAGGTTGGAACCCATGGCTAAACCGGATGATTGTCTATAAATTTTATCATTGAATTTAAAAAAGTTTTGACTGAGTGAAATCCCTAATAGGTAGCAAATATCTAGAACGACATGAGTTTTAATATTCTTTTCAAAGAGGAGATTCCTGACCAAAGTTATGACTTCTTCAGGGGGAATACTCGGAAAGAGATTGGAAACATCCAAGGAGAGTAAAATAGAATCTGGTGGTATGTGTAGGTTAGAAATTTTTGAAGTTAGATCAAGTGAATTTTTTATCGCATATTTATTATCAAATTTGGTCAGATCCCTAAGTAAGGAATTAAGAAATATGGAAATTTTTGAAACAGGAGAATCGATGAACCTTACGACTGGTCTTATTGGGATGTTGGTTTTGTGGATTTTAGGAAGTCCATAGAGGAAATGTGTAACTGGGTTCATAGGTACTAGGGTGAAAAAGGGTTTGTTAAATAGTTTTAAAACGTCATTGATGGGTTTCAATAAGGTTCTAAGATTAGAGTGGAATTTGATAGTAGGATCTGTTTTAATTTCAGTAAAAGAGTTATCTGAATTTAAAAAAAGGTTAACTTTGTCAATATAATCCTCTCTGTTAAGAATGACTAAACAATTACCTTTGTCAGCTTTTGTAATTAAAAGGTTTTCACTTTTAATTTTGTTGTTTAAAATTTTTAGTTCATTGTTAAAGTTACCAGAGAAGTTTATTTTGAGTTTAGGAGTGGGTTTATTATGGAAATTATTAAGGGTGGAGCAAATTTCATTTTTTATAGACTCGTTGTTAGTACATTTACTAGATTGTAAGATTACTTCTGACTCTATGGAAAGAAAGTGTAGATTTTTATCAGACTTAGAAGGGTAGCAATTGAATTTTAGGCCCATATTAAAAATCTCGGTTTGTTTGTCATTAAAAGTGGCGTTACTTAAATTTAGGTATCTAGGATGGAATTTATGGTTAGAGAAATTTGGTTTTGGTTTGTTGAATTGGGTTTGATTGAATCTGAGTCTATGTAGTTTTTTTGACAAATTATGAAATATGTCCTTACCTGTATCCTCTACAAAGTCTCTGACATCACTGTCAAAAACATTAAACTCTAAGTTATTAAGAAAATTATTAAGCAAAAAATAAAGGTAAAGCAAAGTATTAATTAATGATACCCCTTAAGCCTAGGCTTAAGGGTGTACACAAACCAAATTCCGTCTACCCCATTTGTACTGGGGATAGGGGGAGCAACGGTAATTTTCGAAAAGTTACATTTTTCACATGGTGCCTTAAGCACACATGTGGAACTTCAAATTTGAAATTATCTTTTATAACCACCTTCATTAGATGGAGGCAGGCGAGGTTCAAGAGTAAACAATATCCAACCTCGAATGAGGAAGGCAGTACGTGCCAATTTGTATAATTTTTATTTTTACAATTTAAAATTTTAATTCAACATTTAATTTTTTCTGTGGACACATAGTGGTAAGACACCTAGCATTTCTATAAAAAAACGTTTTGTTATCCTAAATTATTATTGCAGATTGTACCTACCTACTCACTTTCAAAAAATTTTTGCCTGATGATGACCTTTTAGGTCGAAAGCGCTTGCAACCCAACCGAATAAATTTATGTGGTCGACAGACTTTGAGTCTTTTATTTCCCTTTAATCTACTTCGGACCACTTTGAGATATGGATAATATTTGGAATTTATATTTATAAAAATTTATAAAACGTTAAAACAAAAAGCAAGTGATTTGCCATATTATGAAAGTTTCGTATAGGATAATGGGACATAGAAAACAAAGTCCTCCAGATGGCTTGTCTTTACTTGTCTCTTTTAAGAAGTAATCTTAAAGTCAGTTATTTTTATATAATATTTTCACCCAAAATTTTGTTGTATGTATCCTCTGATCGCATCTGTACCTGTAACGTGTGGAGGGTGGGTTACCTGTACGGAACTTAGGTCTCACTAGGCCCATTGTGCATCTTCCTAAGATGATAAGCACCTCCTAGATCGCGAGCCAGCCTACAGATTTAATTTAGTTGACAACGTCGTCAAGAGGTGCTTCTCTTATATCGGCCGATGTTAGCCGATACTCGCCGAACACAAATCTCCTAATAAATGAAAACGTCCAGCAATCGTAAAGGATATGCTCTATGGTCTCATCTTCTTGTTCGCCCCCTTTGCAGAGTGCGGATTCTGACAGCCCCATGATATGTAGATGCTTCCGTACTTGGCAATGGCCAGTCAGAATGTCTGTGACTAGGCACACATTCTGTCTAGTCATAGTCAAGTATTTGTTTGCTGCAGTATTTTCAGGAAAACTTAAAAGCTCCCTAGCAACTCTGCAGTTTGTTGTTTTATCCCATCTTTCCATGAATTTCACAAAGAAATGTTCTTTAATTAGGTCTGCCACTACCGATTATGTCAGGCCAGTTTTCTTGGCCAGTGAATCAGCAAGGCGGTTACCTTTAGATGTGGCGTGGCCTTTGATCTATCTTGTCACGAAGTTTTGGCCGAAGTATCCATCAACAACGTGGTCACCTTAAGGTGGATTAAAGGTCACCTCACATCGAAAGGTAACCGTCTTGCAGATTCACTAGCCAA